GGGACTGATACTACAGGACCAAACTACCGGACCAAACAAAAATTGCTTCAACCGGTCCTGTCCAGCCTACTTCCGCAGAACTGTGAAGTTAAGTTTAGTACGGTTCAGTTCGGTTCTCTCTCTCTCTCACTCCCTCCCTCCTTCCCTCCCTCCCTCTCTCACTCTCTCTCCCTCCCTCACTAACTCCCTCACTCCCTCCCTCCCTCCAACCCTCCGTCCCTCCGTCCCTCCCTCCGTTCCTCCCTCCGTTCCTCCCTCCTTCAGCCCCTCCCTCCCTCCCTCCCTCCCTCCCTCCCTCCCTCCCTCCCTCCCTCCCTCCCTCCCTCCCTCCCTCCCTCCCTCCCTCCCTCCCTCCCTCCCTCCCTCCCTCCCTCCTCCCTCCCTCCTCTCTCTCTCTCTCTCTCTCTCTCTCTCTCTCTCTCTCTCTCTCTCTCTCTCTCTCTCTCTCTCTCTCTCTCTCTCTCTCTCTCTCTCTCTCTCTCTCTCTCTCTCTCGCCCTGCCTCTCTCTCTCCCTCCCTCCCTCTATCTTTCTCTCTCTCTCTCTCTCTCTCTCTCTCTCTCTCTCTCTCTCTCTCTCTCTCTCTCTCTCTCTCTCTCTCTCTCTCTCTCTCTCTCTCTCTCTCTCTCTCTCTCTCTCTCTCTCTCTCTCTCTCTCTCTCACACACGCACACACACACACATCCCCCCCACACACATGGACACTCATACATACTCTATCTCTCTCATTTTTAATATTCGGCTGTTGGTAGGTTTCATTGGATTGCTGAATGGTGGAAGTGTTGTTGGCTCGCCCCAAGCCACTGCCTCTGCCGGTATTGTGGCTATGCACACGGACACCAATCTCAACCTCTACTACACTGGGCGTATCTCCAACATAAGGTAAGCATAGTAAGCCGTCACATTGAGAGATGGACAAGAGGATCTTTATTGCTTCAGCAGTGTGCCGATATGCAGCAGAGGTGTGAGGAAATAGGCCATTAGGAAGGAGCCAGGTACTTAGTGTGAAGACATGTTGCGAGGGAATAGGCGTTAGGAAGGAGCCAGGTACTGAGGGTGACGATATGTACATGGTGAAGTGTGAAATACATACCTGGAGAGTACTGGTGAGCCCTTTATTACCAAAACAGCTCGCTGTGTACAGCACTGGGTACCTATAGGTGTATGGCGTATGCTGTTACAAGCAGAGTGCTGAAGTCCCAGCTACTACCACCGCTCTGCTTTGCAGCAGTGCTTTCGTTAGTGCATGCACACTCTCGTACAAGTAAGGCAGAGGAGAATGTTATTGCAGCTCAGAGTTTCATGCTCTCGCCATGCACAAATATTCCTGAGATGTATAGTCACTGAGGCTGCTCTACGGAGAAACTGAATACAAAGGGACTGTTCACTGTTCTAAACCCAGCGTCTGTGAGACTTCTCCCTTTGTCCCCTTCGTTAGGGGCTGTATCTGCCACTGGACACTTGTGTTAGCTGTTAATCGATGGTCCACCGCTAGATGCAAACGAGAGTTCACTGGGACAGTGTTCGTTGATATGTCGAAAGCTTTCGACCGTGTTAAGCATGAACGTCTAGTTACAGTTTTGTTTTCCCTTGGTATAGCTGGAACTGCATTAGAATGGTTCACTGACTATCTCTCAGGGCGTTTCCAGAGTGTCAAAGTTCTTGACTCTGTTAGTGAAGCCGTCAGTTGCTCCCGTGGTGTTCCACAAGGTAGCGTCCTTGGGCCACTGCTTTTTGTGCCCTACACTAGTGAACTCCACACCATACTGCCACCGTCTGTACAGCACCAAGAATTTGCAGATGACATTGTCATTGACTGCTCCCATTTTGATCCTGCTGTAGTGTGCAGAACCTTCTAGCAAGCCATGACAAACCTTGCTACCTGGCTGGAGGACATTGGCCTGCTCCTCAATACTTCCAAGACACAAGTGCTCTTCATCCGGCCACGAGGCGCGGCTGCAATACAACCGGAGGTCTTCTGCAATGGCGAGAAACTTTGTGTGATCCATACAGCCCAGTACCTTGGTTTAGTCCTGGATAATGATTTATCCTGGGCTCCACATGTGGAGTATATTGGTCGCAAGACAGCGCGAACAATTGGTCAGCTCTGGAGGCATGGACGAGGACTGAGTTTGCTTGCCCGGCGAACGTGGTTCCTGAGCATGATCCTTTCCCAGCTGTGTTATGGTTCAAACAGTTTCTTTCCAGGACTTAGCGCACACCTGCTTGATCAGCTTGTAAAGATGTTCAAGGCTGGCATCTGTGCCACCTTGCAACAGCGGCTCTTGACTCCAACTGCCCCGCTGCTCTCTCTGCTCAGCATTGTTAGTCTACCACATACATCTACACACAAAATTGTCGTATTTGTTCATCGATGCATTAAACTCCTCCTGTAGCCCCCTTCTTCAACAATTATTCACTCGAATAGCCCCAGAGACTGTTCCGGAGGATCAGGGCACCACACGGGGACAAGTGTCGAACTTGCTTCAAGTTCCCTTTCTTCGTGGACCTGCGGGACGATCGACCATGATGTATCGGGGACGCATTCTCTGGAACGCTCTCCCCTCTGATTTTAGAGTGATAGGTGTCCCTGGTCCCTTCCGAAAAGCTTTTTCTGCCATTGATATACTTACCTTGTGAATATCCTCGCTATACCTTTATTATCTGCCATAAACTCCAACCTTCTCATCTATCAATCATTTGTGCATGCATGTCTATAAAATCAACCACGTATTCCTGACTCCATGAAATTGTCTTTCTATTCTTTGACTACATGAAATTATTGTCTTTCTATTCTGACTCCATGAAATTGTCTTCATATAATTTTTTCCTTTTCTTCTTCTGGTCCTTTCTGTCTTATATTATTATCATTTCTTGTTTTCCCTTGCATATCATCCCTTCATCATTCTGTGAGAACCTGTCCTATGGGCAGGTGAGAAGGCATCTCTGCCTGTTCATTTGGTGAAGTAAAAGAAACAACAACAACAACAACAAAACGACACCAGCACAAAAAGCCGCTGCCCTCAACGAATTCTTCATTTCACAGAGCAAGCTGTCCGTGGCCAATGCGAATGAGCAAACTCCAGCCATCAACACCACCCCTGACATCCTCAGTCCCCTTCAAGAAATCTCGACTTCCCAAGCTGAAGTCGAAAAACTCCTCGGCGGAGTTGAAAGCCCCGGGTTCGACTCTATTCCAAACCGCCTACTCAAAGAAGCGGCTAAGGAACTTGCACCGTCGTTATCGTACCTCTTTAATCTATCGTTCCAAACCGGAGAAATCCCACAGGAGTGGAAAGATGCCACCATTACTCCAGTACCCAAGCCCGGTGACCCAACCCAACCAACAAATTACAGACCCATCTCTCTCTTGAGCACTACATGAAAAATCCAAAAAAAATTGCACATCAACTCCTCTACAAGCACATCACACCCCACCTGCCCAACCAGCAGTCCGGATTCCGTGAGAAAGACGGCACTGAGCAGCAGCTCGCCCGTCTCGTCCATACCCTCTCCACTGCGAGAGACGACGGGAAATACGTCAATGCCTGCTTTTTTGATCTAAGCAAGGCCTTCGATCGTGTGTGGCATGCAGGCCTTCGAGCAAAACTCTCCCACTATGGTGTCCAGGGCAACGCCCTGGAGTGGTTCCGACGGTACCTGTTGGGGCGTCGGCAAAGGGTCCAGGTGGATGGCGACCTATCGCCTTTCCTCGAGATCCCTGCCGGCGTCCCTCAGGGACTTCTTGGGCCGCTTCTATTCCTCGTCTACACCATAGACCTTCCACATGCATGTGAGAATCCCGGCACCACCTGTAGCCAATTTGCAGATGACACCGCTCTGATTTCCATAGCGAGAACTCTTCAAGACTGCACCCGAAACCTACAACAGAGTGTCACCGCAGCTGAAGACTGGCTTCAAAGATGGCACCTGCTGGTAAACACAAAGAAAACAGTCATCCTCCCGTTCTACCACAATAACCGCCCCCTGAACAGCTACCCCAGATCACCCTCAGGAATAGTCCGCTTACCGTAGCACAAAAACACAAACACCTCGGAATAATCTTTCAGCATGACCTCCGTTGGACGGAGCATGTTGAATACATAGTCAAAAAATCACTCAAGTCTTTCAATATTCTTTTTAGACTAAAGTCTACACTCACCAGTGATGACTTTATCTCACATCTATCAGACATACATACTACCTATATTCTCATATGCGAGCAATGCTCTCACACCCTTGTCACACACTTCCCTTGACAGGCTAGAACGACTCCAGCGGAAAGCCGCCAGGATATGTCTCCACCTTCCCCTTTACACACACTTAGAACACTCCCACCTTTTGCATCGCATCAAATGGCCAACATTATTTTCACGCTTTAAAGTTAAACATATACTCTTCGCGCATTCTCTGCGCCACAATTATGCCCCACCACATATACTCTCGCTGCACACTGTTAGCAACGTGCAACCTTCGTATAATTTACGTCGCTCTCGTACTTGAGACTTGCCAACTCCGCGGACTGACCGCTGTCTCCTTTCTCCCCTGTACAAGGCCCTTCATTACTTTAATTGCTTGCCCACCCAGCTTCGCGAAATCCCTTCTCGTACTCCCTTCAAATCCCAGATATCCCTGCTGTTGCACAACTCTGTATGCTCGTGTAGCGACCACCCCTGCCCGTACACTTTTAAAGTACATAACTCTGTATGCTCTTGGAGCGACCACCCCTGCCCGTACACTTAAGTAGTCATTAACCCCTCGGCCCTGCCCACCCAATTCTTCCTCACTCTTTCTCCTATCTCACACTATTATCTCTTATTGGCCACTGGCTATCGTGAGAATAAAGATTTGAAACAACAACTGGATTTACCGGGAGCTAGCGGCCGTTGTGAGTTCACTTCGGGAACAGATACAATAATGCATTTTACGTTTCTGGTGTAGATTTCAGTTTCTCGATGGATGGAGAGTCCCCATGCAGCTAGGCAATGTGTTATTTGTTTGTTCTACCATACCCACTATTCGATGAAATTTCCCGGATGACCACAGAGGAAAAAACGTTTCTGTATATTTTGTCGGCACAGATTTCATCTCTCCAGCGCCTTCACAACCAAGGCACTGCAACCATATATTCATTGCTTACAAACCCTATATGACAAGCTTCTTACTGCCAGCCGCGTAGCATTAAAGAGAATATTTTCGTTGGATAGAATGACTCCCACCACTCTTCTATACAGTCATACTAACTTGTACGCCCTTGAGAAACGCCTTAACTTCAAAACCTATGTATTTGTTTACCGCTGGCTGAATGGACTTGCTAGTCCTCTTCTGCGAGACCGCTTTACCTTGCGCGCCCATGGTGCTCGCACTGCAGCCACCACCCATGGCCAAGTCTCTGCTGCTCTTGTTCTGCCCCCCGCTAACACCCGATATGGCTTTAGTGCAATTTCTTATTTGGGCGCTGCCAGTGGAATACACTTCCACCGGCTTGCCGCATGTCTAGTTCACCAGCTGAATTTCGCTCATCCATCAAATTATACCTAGGGTTCCCTGTAAAAAGGCGCTGACGCCTGTTGGGAATCCCCTAGTAAAAGAAGAATAAATAATAACAATAATAATAAACCGCAATTATCGCTTTCCAAATGTTCGCCATTAGGTCTCCGTTATTGGGGCTTGGGTACAGATTTCTTTTCAGTATATTATCATATTGTAATATTGGCATCATTGGGACGTTTGCATCAATTTCCCGCCGTTGAGTTTTGCGGGGCAAGTCCACTACAACCATACACACCTTGGTAACTCTACATAAAAGGTCATGGACGTTGCGAGGTCATACTCGTAAATGTACTAAAACCGGTTGTACCTGCCAAGTATGGGGTAACTTGCCCCGCAAAAAGGTGGCAGCCATCTTAGATGCATACATTGAATTCCATTGTACTGTATAATGATAGCAATGCCATTCCCACTGTCACTCATTTCACCATGGGTATCTGTATTGAATGTGTTGTCAATGTTGCTCTGCAGCGAGGCTAGTTTTGGTTCAATGCAGATGTCTTTCTCTGATGGACCGCAACTCCTCATGGCTAACACAACCGCGGTGAGATATGCGAAATTAACTCAATGAGAATGCAGACGATTGCAAAGGGTTGTTTCAATTTGTTCGCATGACCCTCTCAGGAAAACAGAAGCTCTTGTTTGCCTCTTCTCATATGACCAATGTAGTATTACCAGAGAGCAATACGAGTAGTGGGAAAGCCCTCGTCTATACTATTGCCTTATGGGTGTTCCCTGTACGGGTTTGTCGTCTTCAAACAAGAAGAAATAGGGCCCAGGCCCGTCACGTGCCGCCAGCGATGAAACCGTGACCTGCTGCTCGGTGGAGCTTCCTTCACCTCGCCCCCCCCCACACTTAATGCCACATGATATGCCAACGCTTACTTGCATGCTGTGTTGTATCTGATTGTGGCCCTGTGGATTCTTGTAAAAAAAGATGGGCGTGTGCATCAGTATTGCAAGGAACCAGCCAGCCAGGTACGCACCGGTCCAGTTCGATGGGTGTGTGAATAGGTATTGCAAGAAACCAGCCCGCTAGGTACGCACCGGTCCAGTTGGATGGGTGTGTGCACCTGGGTTGCAAGGAAATCAGTCAGCCAGGTACTCTGTCACCTGGTAGAGGTTGGGTGGCTCTGGCCTGTATGGGAGCATGCTCACCTAAACTAGTCCTATCATGTCAGGGTGTATTGTATGGTGTGTGAATGTGATGCCGTAAACCAGGGTCCTGCTTCTGACAAGAAACATTTGCTGTTTAGGAAATCAGCCTAGGCGCTCACTCACCTGGTAGAAATTGGGTGTCCCTGTGGGAATATGTTCGCCTAAACTAATCCACATTAGGGCGTATGGTATGGTGTATGATTATGGTGTATGCTGGTGATGCCGTAAACAGGGTGTTGGCTCTGACAAAAAATGTTAGATTTTTAGTAAATCAGACGGGTTTGAGCGATTCAACGTTTTCCACTCCATCCTCCAAGAACACCTCACTCCACATAATCATTGGCGGAGTTGGTGGTTCACAATGATGGAAGTTTGCAAAAAATCAAAATTTGAGATTCACCGCCTCTCGCAAAAATCGCAAACATGTTTGCATCTCAAGCATTACCCATTAGACAATATCTAGTACAGCTGTATGAGTTTAACACCATATTGTCGAGCTGACATACTGACGTGGACCTGGAAATCCAGTCGATTGACCGGGGCCGGCGCCCTCAGCGCATACAGAACGCTGCATGCAGTGCACATGTTGATCCGATGCGACCAGCGCGCTGCAGCGCATGAAATGCATGTGTGTACCGCTTACCCACGGCTGCATGGCCAGCGCCCAGGGGCCGCTAGACGTGCGACCGGATTTCCACCTCCACAACAGTACAATGTAGTTCACCTTGTTACCGTTTTCAGAGGGAAGTGAGTAGATCAGACCCACCAGAAAGTGGTCAAAGACGGAAATCTCATTGCTCCTTTTACCCATAGAGGGTGGTGGCATTCCTACAGGTGCGGAAAACTCCCCCTCCTGCCCAGTCTCACGCAAACCATGATATTAACTGTTTTTGAGGGAATGAGACAAACGGGAAAAGTCTGAAGAAAAAATTGACTGTCACCACCAGTCCTCGAACCAGGGACCCTCGCTTGTAGCCAGCGATGCTCTAACCACTGAGCTATGGTGTAGTCGTCAGACCATGACAGGGAATTTTCTAGAACCGCCCCAACCGGTTTTTGACCGGTTGGAATTGTTGGCGACCGGTTGAAAAGTTACAAATCAGTTCCAACCGCCCGTACTTTTCTGTGGGTGAATGGAGCTGTGAATGGTCAAACGCTTTTTTCTGGACGGATACTTCCAGCGAAGCCGCGTGGGCTGGTACTAGGGTCACGAGTTTGTACGGCTTGCTACACTCCAGCACCAAGAAATCTGTTAAATTGCTGTCGAGTGCCATATTTGGGTTGTATTTTGAAAAATTTTTCCGGGGGACCCCCGCACCCAGACTCTTCATTGGACCGAAACCAGTTGGAAATTCGTCCTAGAATATACCCTGCATTATGTTCAATTTTTTTTAACTGTTTTGAATTTTGTATTTTTCTGTACCGACGCAGGCCCATGGTAACTTTGCACTCAGCACCACGCAGCTGAATGAGCTGTACACTTCAAGGACCAGTATTGATGTCAGGCCGCCACCAAGCAACTCCACTGGCTTTACACCTAGTCTGCTGGCTGGCCGAGTAGTTCGATTCGGGCCGTTGCAGGACCTAGAGAACTACCTCCGAGGAATGACGACTCTAACAGGTGGGCATGACTCACCAAATCTGTTCTTTGAGTACCGGATTTTACAACGGTACTAGCATGGGAAGAAAAATAGAAAATTCATACTCTTAAACACCCTAATCAGGACTCGCTTTAATTTGATCAAGAACCAGTTTTTCGTGTGTATGTATGTGTGTGTGTGTTTGTATGTGTGTGTGTTTGTGTGTGTGTGTGTGTGTGTGTGTGTGTGTGTGTGTGTATGTGTGTGTGTGTGTGTGTGTGTGTGTGTGTGTGTGTTTGTGTGTGTGTGTGTGTTTGTGTGTGTGTGTGTATAGTAGCGTGTGACTCTACAGGAGTCAGTTAGGAATTTTGTAGCTCTCATCGTTTGATTAGTTTTTGTTAGTTTTCAGTTCTCAGGGACGACTCTGGGCTTCCAGGGTCGTCCCTGGGACAGTTCCCAGTAGAAGTCCACAGCGGAAAGTAAACAGAGCAGATTACAGGACGAACTTCGGGTGTCATCACTCTGACTCTGTTTTCCGCTGTTGGACCCATCGCGAGGCCTTGCAAGCCCGCGAATGGAGCCATCTACCGCACGCAGTAGGAGACGAAAGGAGTTTACCCTGAGCGGTGGGACGTGGAATGTCCGCTCATTGCTCGAAAGTGAAGGACCCGTCCAAACAGCATCCACTCGACATCAAGTAGCTGACGACAAGAAAATTTATCGGATAATTCAAATTTTCAAACGTCTTGGATTGGAAATAGTTTGTCTTCAAGAGACCTACTGGCTGGATAAGAACGTCTACAATATCAACGGAGCAGTGCTAATTTTGTCTGGAAGACCTTCACCTGGCGAGGGAGAGTCGTGTCGAAGGGGTGAAGGTGTTGCGATTCTGTTGCTGGGAAATGCAGCTCGCGCGTGGCGTGACGGCGGTTGTCAATACGACGCCCGCAGCTCTCGGATTGTGTCAGCGCGATTGAAGTTTGATATTCATGGGTGTTCACCGGTATGGTATACTGTCATCTCCGCATATGCTCCGACGTTCGCCAGCAAGCGAATGGCCAAGGAACAGTTCTTTGCGGACTTGCAAGCGACTTTGCCACGGATGGGCACAGAAAAGTTTATTCTGTTGGGTGACTTTAACGCCAGAGTTGGATCCCGTACGCATGCTGACGCTGATGAGTGGTCGGGGCCCACATGGAGTGGGTGAGATGAACTCTGCAGGACGTGAGCTGTTGGATTTTCTTGCAACTATTCAGGCGATGGTGTATAACACATGGTTCTGCAAGACAGAGGATAGGAAGTGGACCTAGCAACATCCAAGGTCAAAGAGATTTCATTGTATTGATTTTGTCATCACGTCACAAGCTGACTACCACCAATGTATTGATGCTCAAGTTATAAGAAGTGCGGAATGTGGGAGCGATCACAACCTGGTGGCTGCGCGTTTTGTAGTAGGCCGTCTGCAGCGCCGCTCGCGTTGTGTGCAAACGAAGAAATGTAAGCGGTTTGATGTTGCACGTTTGAAGGATGTCCACAGCACTGACTCATCTGGAAACATCACACGAGTTGCTGATGTCTATCGTGAATGCCTCACAAACAGTCTGCAACAGCCGAATGAACATACCACCGTTGAATGCAAATGGTCGAGGTTGCGCACCGCGGTCACCGAGTCTGCAGAGGAGACCCTCGGTTTTCAGAAACGTCGTCAACCAGATTGGTTTACTGAGAGCAAAGATACCCTCGAACCCTTGTTGAATGAAAGGAATCAGCGATAATTATCAAGAATGGATTTCAAGTGGCAGGTCTGATGACACGTGGAACAGGTTCAAGGCTGCCAGGAGTAAGGCAAGAGCTGCTGTCCGCTCTGCCAACAACTCCTGGTTCACCAACAAAGCCTAATCTCTTGATGGTGCACGGTTCAGTTCCTCACGGGTGTGGGCATGTGTTAAGGATATGCAGGCTGCCAAGCAGGGATTACGCCCTGTGTCTACTGCCGCTATTAGGGATGCAAATGGCAACATCTGCAAATCTGTGGAGGAACAAGGTGGACGATGGTACCAACATTTCGATGGCGTACTCAACATCCCTAGCACATTTGATCCATGTGCCATTGACGAAATAGACCAGCAGCCTATCAACCAGAACATCGCTGGCAAGCCGGATGCACCAGAGATGGCGCGAGCTATTCGACAACTCAGCAACGGCAAGGCCGCTGGCGCCTCGGCTATCCTGCCTGAGTTGGTCAAAGCGGGTGGTGAGAGTTTCATGGAGGCACTGTTGAATCTGTTGCACCATGTCTGGGATGACGAGGCTGTTCCGCAGGAATGGGTAGACTGCAATCTTGTGCCAATCCCAAAGAAAGGTAACCTCTCATTGTGTGATAATTGGTGTGGCATATCACTCCTGGCTGTTGTTGGGAAAGTTGCTACTCGAGTACTTCAGTCCAGATTACAGATTATTGCGGAGAATATTCTACCCGACTCCCAGTGCGGCTTTCGTAAGGGTCGATCTTGCACAGACATGGTGTTTGCAGTTCGCCAAGTCCTGAAGAAGTTGTACGAACATCGCTGCCCGGGATACGTTGTCTTTGTTGATTTACGTAAGGCGTATGACTCAGTAAACCGTGAATGCATGTGGCTGGTTCTCGCGAAGGCAGGGGTCCCTAGTAACATCGTAAACATCATCAAGTCGTTTCACACCTCCATGTCGGCTAATCTCTCCATCGGGTCAACACCCATCCAACCCATTGCAGTGAAGAGTGGTTTGCGGCAGGGCTGTTGTATGGCACCAGTCTTATTCAACATATTCATGTGGGCTGTTTTCCAGAGATGGTCCAGAGTGGTTGAGCATGTGCCTGGTATCGGCGTCCCGTTGGCATTCAATCCTGGGGGCTCGCTTTATTTCAAGAGAAAGCGTACTGACGATCAGACTACCATCAACGACTGCCAGTTCGCTGACGACTCTGCACAGTTTGCCACTACCCGTACTGCTGCTGCTCTTGCTCTGGATATGTTCATCGATGTCTCGTCTGCATTTGGTCTGACGGTCAATCTGGACAAGACCAAATTTATGGCGGTTGGCTATGGTATCACGGATGATGACCGACTTCCTCTTCCTGTGAAGAATGGCACATTGGAATGTGTGCGTGAGTTCCGATACCTGGGTGCTGTTATCCATGATTCTGGCCGATCTCACAAAGATGTATCGACCCGTGTTTCATCTGCCTCCCGTGCTTTTGGAGCGCTCCGTCATGCTGTCTTCAATGACCACAATCTCTCTCTGCGCACCAAGCGTCTGGTTTTCGAGGCCTGTGTTCTGTCCTTACTGCTCTATTGTGCGGAGACGTGGGTACCGCTGCAAAGTGATGTGCAACGGATCACGACCTTCTACTACCGGTCGCTTCTTTCCATCATGAGTGTTGCACAGCGGGATGTGTGGGACTTGAAGATAGCCAAGGACACGATTCTGAAAACATGCTGCAGCAAACCCACTGGATATCCCGACCGCCTCATGCAGAGAAGACTGGAATGGCTTGGGCACGTGGTACGCATGCCTGAGGAGCGGATGCCGCGGATGTTGTTATTTGGCACATTGCTGCCCACACGCCCAGCGTGTGGCCCGCGGAAACGATGGCGCGACGCAATTAGAGTCAACCTGCGACTAATAAACATCGCCGACGAGTCATGGTTTGACACAGCGCAGGAACGATCTGAGTGGCGGCAAGCTTATCGAGCAATACAACCAGCTCAGAAACCGGCTCGGGAGATAGTCTGCGAGGTGTGCCGGCGTGCATTCGCTCAGCAGCAAGATATCGCCCGCCACAAGTGCATCATGGAACGGCGTAAACCAGTCCAGCAGCAAGCCAACAGCCGCCAGTGCTCCCAGTGTCACCGATGGTTTCGGAGTGCGGGTGGCATTGCAGTCCATCGCTGTGTCCAGTCCAATTCTGCCCCGAATGTTGCCAATGCCATAAGCTCTTCACCTGTACGCCTATGTATTCCGAAACCGTGCTATAATGCTCACTGTCCCATTTGTGAACGCTGCTGTAAGTCGATCCGGAGCTTTGCTATCCACAACTGCAACCGATCCACCAGGCGCCCAACTGCTGATGAAAGGGACAAGTTCCAATTGCAATGTCAGAATTGCCAGAGGCGTTTCAAAAGGCGAAACGACTTATCCCGTCACCAACGCTCATGTCTCCTCTCGTCTCCGTCTCGCTCAACGAGAAACACGTGACCTACATGGCAGTGTATACCAGGACCAGGACCAGGTGTGTATGTGTGTTTTGTGTGTGTGTGTGTGCGTGTGTGTGTGTGTGCGCGCGCGCGCGCATGTGTGTGCATGGACGCACGTGCACGTGTGTGTGTGTGTGTGTGTGTGTGTGTGTGTGTGTGTGTGTGTGTGTGTGTGTGTGTGTGTGTGCAATAGACGAATAGCTCGGCGTTGTGGGAAGCCTATTCACTTCTCTTCTTCAGTACATTTATAGACAACCAGCCGTACAACAGTGACTTGATGATCGATTGCTGCTTTAATCACTGGCTGACAAACTCTTGTTTCTTGCAGGTCAGTTGAATCTTGCCATAACACCAGCATTTTGCCAGTCTCCCAACTCCTCCAGCTGCCAAGGTCAGGGTGGCCTACTGCAGCTCAGATACAACCAAGTGAGTGAGATACATGTATGGTGCATTGTGGGTAGATTTGCAGGGAGGGGAAGAGAGAGGTGGGGGGGGGGGGGGGGGGGGGGGTGTAGAAAAGTTGTGCAGTATGGACGGGTATGAAGGTGGTTGAACAGTGCAGAAAATGTTGCTGGTAAACATTCAGCGGAAAGTGCAACGTATGGTAGCGTGTAAATTTTCCCTTGACCCCGTTTCACTTCCCTTTTATGATTTTTCCCAGCCACCCTTCCAGGAACCTTCCCCGCTCAGCATCCATTTACTTTTGGAAAATCTGGAAAGGGGAAGGGAGGGAGGGAGGGAGGGAGAGAGAGGAATTGCGATCAATACAAGCAGACAGACAGTTAGCTTGTCGTAACAATGCCCTGCTGCATGCTGTGCTCTCCTGTTTTCAACAGACCAGCTTACGGCTTACGATCAGTCTGTACGTGGGAGGACTTGCCAATGGGATTGAGCAATGTGGATTCTGGTCTTCAGGCAAACTGATCATCGATCTCATGCCCTTGGTGGGAAAAGGAGTCTATGCTGGCTCGGTCTTTGTAAGCATCTACGTGCATATTGCACAAACACAATCACACACACACACACGCACGCACGCACGCACGCACGCACGCACGCACGCACGCACGCACGCACGCACGCACGCACGCACGCACGCACGCACGCACGCACGCACGCACGCACGCACGCACGCACGCACGCACGCACGCACGCACGCACGCACGCACGCACGCACGCACGCACGCACGCACGCACGCACGCACACACACACACACACACACACACAAACACACACGCACACACGCACGCAAGCATGCATTCATGCACGCACGCATGCACGCACGCACCCACGCACGCACCCATGTACGCACACACACACACACACACAAGCACACATGCACACACACACACACACACACACACACACACACACACACACACACACACACACACACACACATACTTCCTCCGTATACAAAAACTTCGTGACTTTTTTTGAACGGTGTTTTTGAGCAAGAACCTGCTCAACGAACGGCACCAAAGGCTGTCATCGACAGCCCACGTCCATGTCGAGGTTAGTTTGGTTGATCCCGAACAGATTGTCCACGGACGCTATGCGTGTGAGGACGTTGCCGACAGAAACTCAAGAGTCAAATGCAAAAAAACTAACACTTGCTTGCTCGAAACTGACACAGTGACGAAGTGTAGCTCGTGGCTGGAACACGGAGTCACGCGGCACTCGCTGCCCTAAAACTGGCCAGGCTCGTACTTGCGGTGCGCGGCCCCATAGATCTAGGCAGCGTGAGAACATAGATTTGTTTCGCTCGCACCGCAAGATGAAACATTTCAGTCGTCGTGCAACCAGCGCAGACTCAGGATCAGAATGTCGATGGCCTGGCTTTCTTCGCCTCTCTCCAGTCAGTCGTCTCCTTTGTCGTCAAGAGGAATCTCCTCGAAGCCATTGTAGAATGCTTGGGAGGATTATCCTGGCGCGAAAATGCGAAGCGTGTGGATGTGCTTGTACGACTCGTTTCACGGCATAATGGAGGTCGCGGGTTGGAACGACTGAATATAGTCGACACTGATGCGTGCACAGCTCTAGAGATGAAGAGGACGTAGCCAAAGTGCAGCGTCGGATCATCACTGCAGGTGACAAGAATCTAAACGAAATGCGAGCAGAAGCAGTGACTGTTGGCGATGCGGAGTCAGCGTCGTCAGGTGCCAATGACATGAGCGACGAAGACTCTGAAAAAACTCAATCTCATTCGTCTGAGTTGCTTTTTTCTTTGTATATAGCTTGTAAACAGGTTAGACAATGCCACGAGTGTTATTTCGAGTCAAACGGAACAATTCCAGAGCTGTGCGCAGCTTTAAAAAAAGTCACGAAGTTTTTGTATACGGAGGAAGTACACACATACACACTGCATGTAAATCATAGTACGGTAATCACATGTTCAGTCACATGATCCATCACCTCACAAATCACATGAACACGCACATGATTGCATATATTTCTCAACTTGTTACCTGTATAGACATGGTCTCGTAATAGTAGTTCCATCATTCCCTGTAACATCGCTTTAAGAAGGGAACGAAAACCAAACAAAATCAGATAGCTGTGTCTCCTAAGCTGGTTGTGCTGGATGACTTTGATGCATGCACATATTGCACACTATCATGTAAATTAATAATGCAATTCCAACTCCATCACAAGTGCTCTCTGGCCGTTTTAGTAAATGCAAATTTCCCTCTCTATCTAATTCCTCTGCGTCATAACAATTGTCGCTTCCCAGAGCGATTTTTCAAATTCATTTGTCCAATCGAAGCAAAGAAATCAGCTAGAAATTGAGGTCGAGGATTTCTGACGGACTAAGTTTAAGTTTGTGGCATCCCGCTTCGCTGTACATGCCGCTGAGGTCGACATCCTCACCAGACTTTGGAGGCAAACCCTTCAGTACTCAACAAGACGCTGAACGAGACGCGCGTTCAAATTCAGGTCATGAAACTTCGTTTTCAAGCGATCCATGCCTCCAGGTGGCAGGCTATGATGGCTAAACAGAATTTTTGAAGTACACCATAACGACGTTGCAGCAGGATAGGGTAAGCAGCTCTGCACCTTCTTTCCTTGACGAAGGCTTTTCTGATTTTGTTGGTGTTCTCAGACCTGCTACCTTTGCAGCAAGATGCGCCGCACGTAGGGATTTTTCTAGGAATTTGAGTACACCTTATTCTTGCAATCGTCAACTTCAGCATTTCAAATTCAGGGGAGATACTAGGATACAAATGCCCGAGCTTGCAGTCTTGACAAATGCCCACTCAAATGATGTGGGCTGGCACAATCTCCAGAAAAATATACGCGCTCTGGGGCGAAATAGTGCAGAGTGCGACAAATTTGTTTGATGTGGAAAAGAGCTGCGACACCACCACGGCTTCCGTGACAAGTAGACATTGCGTAGGAAGGGTCGTACTAATGTTCGAACACAGAAAACAGCGATTCAGACAGTCCGGCTAAGACAAGCAAGGCACACAAACTGCGACGTGTGAAGTGACAATTGTAGTGACGCGGACCAAGTATCTTGCTCTCTATCTCTCTCTTCTTTCCCAGCCTCTTAGACACTCTCTCTCTGTCTCTGTCTCTCTCTCTCTCTCTCTCTCTCTCTCTCTCTCTCTCTCTCTCTCTCTCTCTCTCTCTCTCTCCATGCCTGTGTGTATATTTGCATGGGCGCTCTGCAACCTTGCCTGTTCTCTCACCTGGACCCGTCATCAGCGCACAATTAATGTCTATCTTAGCCGTCAGCAGCAAGACCTCTTCAAGGACAACAAGGTGGAGTTCCGCACATGTAAGTTCTTATTGATTTTCAGGGGTGGCTTCATCGGTTTTGTTTCTGGATTGCTAGTATGCAGCATCCCGGGGTCACTTAAGACTATGGATAGTACTGCTGTTGTATGTGAAGAAAATTATTATTGTTATCAGCCTTTTCACGTTGGCATCAACAAGCAAGCTTGGCTAGTCTTCGCTTAGGCCGAATGGAATGAAGAATGAGTAACAAGCAGGGTCAAGGAGGTGCTTATACGCATGCAATTGCAGATCAGACAACACAGAAATATGAAAACAGTCCTAAAACACACACGCACTGTCAACTGTCCCGGCCATGATTTCAGTATCGTGCAGTACTCGGCAGTTATCGGACTTTATTTCCTGAAGTGCAACCCATGCCCTTCCAGGTATTGATCACTTTGTGAGCAGAGAGGACTCAACCTACCTTGTACCGTATGTAAGTTATTGACAAGGGTATTTTTTCAGGGTTGGGATATTGTGATCATGTGTGAGACTCAGCCCTGGGATTGGAGGCCGGGGCGAGAGCAATACCCAGTTAGGATGTAGATTTTGGCTGAAACCTTTTGGAGTCGGGAATCATGGGAGATGCGGAAGGGAAAAGGGCTCCATTGGCTCACGGCGAAGTCCGGGTTTCAGTTCCTGGAGGGAGCACATGCATAGCGTTTACCCAGTAAGCAGTTGGTGTGTTGTGTCCATTGGCCGTTGCTGGTTTTGATGCTACCATAGCAACCTGACGCTTACACCACTCGCCAAGCAATCAGCATGCAAACGAAAAAGAAGTTCTTTCTCTTTGGCGCCAACTGCTTTGGTGTCCGGCTGGCCAACTCAGCCGTCGTCGATGGACGACGTAAGACCCTGAACTACCACAGTGGTGATATCCCCAGTGCGTTGGTGTTGCGATGGCAACCGGATGTGCTGATGTTCTCTCCGTTGCTTACATTCGTGAATCGGAAAGCTTCTTTTATGGGCAAAATATGCACAATGAATGGAAATGCAACACGAAAATTGGTAACAAAAAAAATTGGCAAGCCTTACGTGCTGGCATTTGTTCACGGTCTGTTGTTTTCCTGTTGTTTGTTAGATTCGCTTTCCCACAGCAATACCCTCGGGCAATTTGGTTCTCTGGTCTACAACGAAGTTGTCCATTTAGTCAGCAGACAGGCACTAGCTATCACTGTCAAGATCGAGGAGAACACGGTGGGTACAACCGCTGATCGTTTGGAATCGTTCCTCTCTCGCCGGGCCTTTGTAACAGTGGAGAGGACAACTTGGGAGTACAGCCAGGCAGCAATAGAGAGTATATTGAAAATGGCAGTTCATGATAATTTAGTGCTACAGTAAAACCTGGTTCAAGCGACCTCTGGGTTTAGCGACCACCTGCTCTTAACGACCATTTCTTCATGCACCGACAGTTCTACACAGACACTGTGGGACCTGGTTCTAAAGACCACCTGGGTTTAACGGCCGCTTTTGCTTGCACTGTGGGGTGTCGCTTAATTAAACCAGGTTTTACTGTATTTTTCGTTATCCTTACTTATTTCACCCTAGGTACAGGCATTGCTGCCTTCTTGCTGTACTGTGGGGTGTTGTGAGCTAGCTGAGTTTGAATTTGCCTTTGCGCTCAACTAGCTCAGACAGCTCTGACAATGCAGTAGCTTGGAATTACACAATTTGGCCGTGTTTGTTATATCCAAAACCCATTTCCGGCCATATAACAAATTTACCGTATATTGGAGATACTGGCCGAGGCGCTTATTAGTTCACAAGCCCCAAAATTTCACCCAATTTGAAAAAATCCACAAAAAAGTCCCGAAGAGTTTTGGCACTTATTTCAGATAGGTGGTAATAAAATCACGGTTATTATTTCCGACCACACGGTATCGTCCCCAAGAGTGTGCAACTCCCACGTACCCTGCTTTGAAGTCACATAATAGACTTTCAATGGGAGTACAATGTAGGTGAGGTTATAGCAGTATGACAAGATTATTTTTTTAACCGAATCCAACCTTAAAATCAGGTTTGTGGAAGCTCAACTGAGATGTTTGAATAAATCATCTACCCTGTACAAAGCACCCGTGTCTGAATGAAGTCTGCACCTCCGGTGTCCACGGCAAACTGGTTTCTTTTGACATCACTGACGTTGAATGCTTTCACCTTGAGAATGGGCCATGTCCGAAAATTTGGTGAATTTTAAAATTATTTATTTATTTTGAAGTGACGTGTGCGGCGAAGAGACCGTATTTGGAAAGTTCGAGTTGAGATACTCTAATGTATGGGTGGTTGCACTGGCGTCTGTGAGTTCTTAGAAACGTTTGTCACTGACGTTGTCTGTTCTTGTTTTCATTGCCCGTCGATCATGCAGCCCAACGTGTTTGTAGCCATAATCCCGGACAACTTCATGTTCCGAGCGCCCGGCTTTCTCACCTACAAGTTTTCCAGCGGCGACACCATCAATAACATCAGCGTCTTCACGACGTATCCGAACGGCACGCTATACACGGGAATCAATGGCAGCTACGTTCCCGACTACGAAATTGCGAGCGTAATGAACGTCGAACTGGATCTGTACGTCAACAACCAGTTCCATACCCAGCTTAATGTGACGGTATGTACAGGTTCTGGAGCAGTGTGGTTTGACCAGCAATCCAACCCCACAAGCTAGCACATAGTATGTACTCTTGGTATCACCCATAACCATGCTGGTCGTACGGGATATTGAATTGTCATTGGCAATAGAACAACCTATGTGCTCTCATAGAACAAGCTGTTATTTTCGACGCGCGTAGCAGCAGCGGAGAGAGAGAGGTGAGAGAGAGAGAGAGAGTGAGAGAGAGAAAGAGAGAGAGAGAGAGAGAAACTGCACGACATATTGGACCATGGCTTTAAATTCGTAAACCAAGTAAGACGGGGATGCCCGCATGGCCTTGGTCTTGGTATCATTGCACTCATGAAGTTACAATGACCTCTCTTTCTGACATTCAGGTTGACATCCTTGATATCAACGACAACTACCCTGTTTTCACCAGTGCCTCTAATGTGACCGTCAATGAGGACATCGGTCTTGTGCCAGACTCGGCAGTCATTACCACGGTGAGTGTCTGCCTGTGATGGGGGCGCTGTCTTCTCCAGCGGTATCTTGACCTCTGCATGTGGGATAGTTTTAAAACACACAGGCCGGCAGAGTTAGGGAAATTTGAACAATGGTGTCTTCGCACTGCAGAAACAAGCCCGCTTTTAAGACTCATTTGCGGGGGACATCAGGCAATCGGGGTGTGGCATTTGATGCAGATATGAGACACGAGTTTGCAAAAAGTCAATTGAGGGGGGCCAACAATGCTCTAACTGGTGTGTGTTCTTGGTGCAGTATATTCGTATGCCCAGCATGTCCTCTACTTTCTGTCTTTGCAAAAGTACACTTCTACTGGTGGTTACTTTGGGCTCTTTTCGACAATTTCTGCATTAGTGGACGTCCTGGAAGTGTAGTTGCAAGTCGAACACAATAGACTTGCACAGCAGTGTATTGTGATGAGTCATTCACACAACCCACGGACAACCCACGGAAGCGGAAAGGTGGTTCTTGACCAGGGAGTTGAACGACTCCTTGTTCTTGACCTGCCCGGTACGCGAACCCGTCGAATTTCTTTTCTTTTCTTTTTTTTATTGGCACAACCTCTGGCTGGACCAGAAAATGTTCTAACTTGGGAAAATGCCGAAAGAAAACTAAATTCTTATAATAGTATAATAGTCATCCAATCATCCACGGCTCACACAGCTCACCATCGGCTGACACAGCCCACCATGGGCTCACACAGTTCACCATGGGCTGATACAGCTCACCATGGACTGACACAGCTCACCATGGACTCATACAGCTAAACATTGACTGACACAGATCACCATGGCCTCACACAGCTCACCATGGGCTCACACAGGGAATGAGTCCTGTATGAGAAGGGAACGAAAACGTTTGGTTGAGAAAATCTTTGATTTGTTTTTCTAGACTGATGTGGACAGCGTATAGGTGAATGACTATTGTGCTATTCTAAGAATTGGAACCCTTCCAAATTGTTATACTGAAAACTAATTGTGCATATTTGCTGTGCTACCCCTTTTGCAGATTGAGGTTTCTGACAGTGACATCACTGCTATCTATGGATTACCACTTGTCAGCATTCTGAATGCAACCAACGAAATCGGCAAGGACAGAACAAGCTATTTCTCCCTCAGCCAGGTCAGCAAATGATGTGAATTCAAGGGTCGAGTTGATAAATTTTGAAGTCTGTGTTTGCCAATCTCAGGGTTTGAGTTATATGAATTTTGGTTTTTGTGAATTCTGGAGTTTGAGTTTGCCAATTTTAGATTTTGATTTGTCGAATTCTTTTAAACTTACAAGCAAATGGCTGGTCTTCTTCGACATTCTTTTGACAACTCACAACCCACTTCTCTCTCTCTCTCTCTCCCTCTTTCTCTCTCTCTCTCACTCTCTCTCTATCTATCTATCTATCTCTCTCTCTCTCTCTCTCTCTCTCTCCTAAATGCAGTCGAAGGCCGGCGGCCCAGCTAGCATCAACCGTACTAAAGTACTGGATTACGAAAGCCCTGGTGATCGCTGGTTCAGGCTGGAGTTGCAAGCAATCGACGGAACTCCGCAAGACAATAATCGCAAGTCATCAGTCACCGTAAGATGGGGGGGGGTTGGTCGCCTTTTTTCACTATGAACACAAAAAAACAAGAGAAAGGGGATGTTGGGACAGTTTGCCGATGTACTGAGAGCAACTCTACGGACCAGAGGTCTCCGTGTTGACGTTGCAATCAGGCATCGTAAATGGGGAAAGTGGTTGAGGTGTTGCAGAAGAAGACACTAGAACAGACCGAAGAGGGTACCATGCTCTGCTTTTGTTTTGTCTTCGTTCTCTTTCTGTGATGATCCTGGAAAAAGCCACTTGTACGGGCAAGTCCTCATGCATACCATCAAACTAAAGTGATTGGGGAAATCAAATCAAAACAAAATTTGGACACAAAAGCTATACAACATTGGCATTATTGTTTAGACCAGGAGGTGATCAGGGAAATCAAGTCAACTCAACTCATTTGTGAATGATTCAACACAACAGCAACTTTACGTTGATGATTATGTTGTTATGGACTCAGATGGAGAGCCAAGGTTTAATTTATACAAAAGAGAAAAACCAAGGAACTACAAGTTACGCTATACTGTCCAGTGTCCACTAACACCACCAGTTACTAAACAATCAGCTCATGCGATAACATTGCACGACACTGACCGGCGGTACTGACGTTCTACAACTAACTGGCTAACAGCTCTAGCACATCTTGGACGCGCACTCCAACAGCCTTCCAACTTATGTCTTATTCTCCTTCTATCTATCTATCTATCTATCTCCCTCTCTCTCCTTCCCTTTGCTTCTTCAGACAATCTTCATCTCGCTGAAGGACCTGAATGACAACCGTCCTATGTTTGACCAGAAGTTCTACACCGCCAAGGTCGAGAAGACATTAGCAGTGGGGCTAGTTATACTCTCGATTGCCGCTACTGATGCGGTAAGTACGAGGATAAAAGAAAACCTCTTTAGGACGAACTGCAGGTGATCAATGGTATTTGTGTACTATATAGGGAGGTATTTGTATTCAACTCGGATGGTGAGCCAATTAAATTATGGTGAAAAAGGAGCAGGAAAATGTCTCCAAATGTCTCAGTACTCCTTGTCAGTTTTGTGCCATTTTGTCGCGCTCGCTGAACGGATAAGATCTGGTTACATTGGTGGACAGTTAGTCATAACTCATAACACTTCTTCCTTCTCCTTTTCCACCGGTATTTTTATTCTTATTGTATACCCAGTAAAATACAGTCATTTATTTAATATAGGGTTTGGAATTCTTGTTCTTCTAAAGCGAAAGTTTGTCTCAGCAATGTTCATCATAACGAGGTTTCACTGTACCTGGCCTAAGCCTGCCGTGTCCAGCCTTTCCTGGCCTCTCTTGGCCTTGTCTTGCTTCCCTCCTAACTTGCTCTACCATGCTAAGCACTGTCTCCCCCCAGACTTCCCGTTCTCCCTCTAGCTTGCTCTGCCTATCCCAGCCGTGCCTCGTCTTGCCTTGCCCGGCAATACCCTGCTCGAGAGTTAGAAGTAGAAGTAAAGTACTCAAGATGTAGTTGTGAGTAGGTATTCATTTTTCTTGCCCTTGTACAGGACTCTCTTCTAAACAGTCAGCTAGCCTGCAGTGTTGCGACAACAGACGGTTCCCCGCCTCATCTCTTTGCCGTCAGCACAGTGAGGGTGGGCAGCCGGTACGTCTGTGAACTCAAGCGCAATGCCACGCTGGAGTTGGAAACACGTCGCCACTACAACCTCTCACTGACGGTAAGGTTAGCAACTTGTACGGCTACTTTCTACGTGAACCTACTGTAGGTGATCAGCGGCTATCACCTTGGAAGGCCTTTTTTCCTCTTCCTTTTTCTCATATCAGTATTTTCATCACTTTTGCAAGAACTGTGGCAATACGCTCAGTGAGAAGGCAGAGTTTACATGCGCTCATGGTGAAGTGAAATAAAGCTAAACAACAAACAACAACAAAGGCTATTTTCTAAGTGAACATACGTGACTAGTTTGGTTTCACCATTTAGGGTTAAGCGGATTGAAGGATAGAGTGGAATTTGAGAGTTTACACATGTTATGCTTTCCCTTTATGGACTCCAGCATGTGTGTGTGTGCGTCTGTGCATTCATGTGTGTGTGTGTGTGTGTGTGTGTGTGTGTGTGTGTGTGTGTATGTGTGTGTGTGTGTGTGTGTGTGTGTGTGTGCGCGTGTGTGTGTGTGCGTGCGCGCTTGCGTGTGTGTGCATTCATGCGTGTGTTCACATGCATATCACTCTCAAATCCCCACCCCACCCCCTTCACATCTCTATCACACACAAACGTACAGGCTATAGACATGGGACGCCCAATGCTGAGCCAGTCCGTCCCAGTCCATGTGCAAGTGGTCGATGAGCCGTTCAAGCTAGTCGTGCAATTCCCACCGCCGTTCCTGACCGTTTACAACTCGTCATTTTTCATCAGCAGTCTTGGCAACACGGCGAACTTCAGGTTAGTCCTCCATGCCTGACAAACAACACTCTCATAGCAATGGCACAACCACGTCCTGATGTCATGCTGTCTGACGAGTGTTTCTTAACACGACACTCTAAGTAACAACAGAACAGGTTTTGGTTACTGTTCTTGCTGTGTGAGTATTGCATGGCTGGCTCTGTCCACTGCACATAGAGCACTATACACAACCTGAGTATTGCATGACTGGCTCTGTCCACTACACATAGAGCATTGAACGCAGCCTGAAGATCTTAGACAATTGCCTTGTCTTGTTTGGGAAATTTTCTGGAAAGAACTCCAGAACGCCCGTGATCGGCAGAGTCAGCGCCGGTCCCAGGAAACGTCGGACGACGCAAATGCAAAAAATGAGCATAGGAGGCTTAATCGTGCTGATTCGGGTCGTGCTACTGCAGCTGCACACATGGAAACTGTGCGGTCTATGGTAGAGGAAAAGAATCATGCAATGGTGTTCTCTTTGTCATGGTCGTGGACCGTCTCGGACAGAATCTGATACTTCGGTGAGAAAAGAACTGGCATCCAATATTCCAGCACCAGTTTATACAGCCTTGCTAGCTGATGGTCTGGAAGCGTTCCAAGCGGAGTATAATTTAGAAAAGATAGGAGAATTGAAAACATCCCTATGCTTTTTTTGCCTAGGTCATCAAGGTGGTAGACGCTGTCGTATTACCCTCGACCGCATCTGCCCCGTACCGTACCGTACCATCAAAGACGGCTAGCCACAAACAGCTGGCCACTATATTCAAATAGGGCTTTCGAATGCAAGATCATAACGTGAAGCAACTTGGAAGAATTTGCATCTATGCGAAGTGTATAGCGATATCGGGTGATGCATGCAGGGCGATAGTGCGGGTGCGAATCCCAGGTTATGTCTTGAAAAAATAGGAGAAATGAAAAATTTATAACATCCCTATGCTTTTCTTTGCCTAGGTCATCAAGGCAAAAAAGCATAGCATAGGGCCCTGAGCTTCCAAGCTCTCACGTGGGGTAGAGGAGTGCAGTTAGGAGCGCAGTGTTGAGTGGTGGACTGTTCCAAAAATGCCTTATTAATCAAAATCGTTGTGCCTGGCTGAAGGACAGCATTGAATGCAACAACAACTTGTTCACATAGTGTCACAGGCCGTGCATGTACTTCAGTCTGCATCTCAACTCATCCACTCAATGAACAACTTGCCACTTTTTTGTTCTGTGTACGGAAAATCAGGGCCGTTTGGTGAACTTGGATATCCTCTTTGTTTTCACTGGTTTGAGGGAAAGTTGGAAACGGGAAATCCCCTTTGGCCGTGAACATGGATGTTGGAAATCACTTCCCAAATGCGCATACGAATCTATGTGTCATGATGTATTGTTATTGCTTAGCAGATTATTGCAATGGTAACCACTGCTTGAATGGAAAGAGATCACTAGTCATCTATTCATCCATTCTCGTGTTTTGTTGTGTTGTCCGGTGTCTGTTTCAGCTTCACGACGAACAATGCAAATAGTATGAGCAGTGTGGCATTTGAATGTCGCATAATCCAATCTCAGCAGGCTTGTCGCTACCGCCGTGCTGCAATTGTGAGTTTTTTTTCCAGGATACACACAACTTATTGGCAGGCACATGGGTCTATCATGGGGTGAGATGGTGCTGGAGGTGTCTGCCATGCTCAACCGACCAGAGGTCCGGACAGTTCCCAAGCCCATTGCCGCTGCTCATGTATTACCTGCTTACATGTTTGTGTGCACGTAAATGCATGTGTGTTGGGGAGGGGCCGGGGGGGGGGGGGGGGCAGAATCCTACCCGCTGTTTGAAGTGCTGTCTCTTTCTCTCTCGCTCTCTCTTTCTCTCTCTCTATCTCTCTTTCTTTCTTTCTTTCTCTCTCTGTCTCTCTCTCTCTCTCTGTCTCTCTCTGTCTCTGTCTCTCTGTGTCTCTCTGTGTCTCTCTCTGTCTCTCTGTCTCTCTCCCTGTCTCTCCCTGTCTCTCTCTGTCTCTCTGTCTCTGTCTCTCTCTGTCTCTCTCTCTCTATTTCTCTCTCTCACACTCACTCTTTCCCCACACCGCCATTCCTTGTAGCATTTTTGAAGTAACCTATTTTGTCAAACCACTGATTGTGATACAGAATGTGAAGAACCATTTGAAACAAATCCCGGGAGAGAAGCTCCAAGACAGGATGCTGTTCCGTGCCTTTCCGTAATTTTGTTATGTACCAGGCATCTAATGTATGCGCAGTGTACTCACTGTTGGCTTGCCTCATCAGCACAGGTTCTTTCTTGGAGCCCCTTCTCTTCGCATTGTTGTGTTGTCCTGCTATTTTTCTCTCCTCTTACAACGAGTAGGTTGTGTCTACAGTAAAACGTTTTAAAATAAGGTAAGCGTAGTGACAAGAAAACTGTATCGGGATAGCCAACACTACAACAGACATACGATAAGATAATCCCGAAGCCCTCTTGGAGTGCACTTATAATGGAGACTGGGCTTCTACAAGAGACTGCGCTTGCTTATGGAGGCAATACAGTATGTGTTTGTCTGTGCTTTCAGAGTGCGTGCTCCAAGACATGCGGTCAGGGTACTCGCACAGTCACTCTCGTTGGTCAGTCGCATGGCCCCCCGGTGACAGACCCTGCCTGCACGTTCAAGATCATCACGGAACCGTGTCAGATCAACCCATGCCCAGGGGTGAGTCGTGCCATCTACAGTGGACTGTTGATCTATAGCAAGCACCATTGTGCAGGAGAATCAGTTCTTTATAGCCGAAGTTCGATAAAACAGAAATGCACATATGGCCCAACTTCTGCGAAAACCAGGCTTAGGGTGAAATGATTTTTTTGAGAAAAATGATGTTTTGTAAAAAGGTTTTGTCGCGTGGCCGCTCGAGTGCAGTGAAGTGGAACCAAAGAGATTCTCGCTTGTTTGAAGAAGTGGCAGTCATGGCAGGAAGGGTTTCAGCAGTCAGGGAAGTCAAAGGGCTTCCGGTAGAATATTACCTGCTACTCCTCTAGTCACAACGACGAGTTTTTGAGCTGATCGAACGGATTCCATCTCCTTCACTCAGGGATGGCGAAATTTCTGCGCTAGCTGCTGCTTGCGGAAAATGGTGAAGAAACCATCTCCAGTTAGAGTGGTGAAGGCGATAGCGAGGAGAACCTGGACGACATCGATCCAGCCAATCGAAGTACGGAGCTACTAGCTGTTTCTGGGCCTCACGCAAAGGGAACACGCGCAACAGAGCTCATACGTTTGCAGCAAGTTCACGAGGAAAAAGGCTAGAAGCGCAGTGTGAAAACTGTTTTGATTGAAGTCCTTGGCTGGATGAAGTGCTACTGAATGCCAGGCGAATGAGCGAGCAGATCGAGAGAGCTAAGAGGCCTCCACTCGAGACTTTCCTCGCTGGGCAGCTAGCTGCAAGGGATTGTACGGCGTGCCGAGATTTCACTTGCTGGTCAGCACCAAGCAGACACTGCAGCATGCCAGCACACTATGCGCATACTACGAACAATGGAACAGCTTGAAAGGCTGTGTTCTTGCTTGGTTTTGAATCGTTCAAAAGGTGCCATCTCAACTGGAGTCGGGTTTCCTTGTGGTGTGTAGCGCCAGAGCATGCCAGTACATGTATGCAGCCCCAGAATGTGCTGAGTGAGGAGCAAACAAAATTCATGCAGAACTGTGCATGGCCACTACAGCCTGCAGCACCAAGGGGCCACAACAAGCCTGCCCTCACATGCCTACCTTGTCATGTCACCTAAACAAAAATCATCCATGTCTCTTCCTTCAGTCTGGTGGATCTCTATTCATTTCTTTCCTATGATAACAATTTTGTGTTTTTTTGGATTTTTTAACACAATACCCTGGTTTGTTTGAGATACTTTTAACCCTTTATTACCGGATTACTTGCACAGCATGCACCAGAATTACGAATTTCAGCACAATTTCCAACTTCACCAGGTCATAACTTTGGTCTCCTTCACTTGATTTTCACAATCTAGGGCTCGTTGGAAAGCTCTTGGCGAGAGCAACACCAGGGTACCAAGCTTCATTATCCAGTCGCCACAAATCCGGCGCGGTAACACAGCAAAGTCGTCTCCAAGCCTGATATGCAAGCAAATTCGTCCCATCAACGCCATTCCACTCTCCTTCATCGCAGAACGCTCAAATTTGTTTGAGACGATTCAAACTTCAGCCGACTACGTCATTATGATGTGCTTAGTCGCTCAAAGAGCACACGAAAAGGGATTTTCCCCAAAAATGGCGAAGTGATCGATCAAAAATTTGAATTTGCCGAGATGAGAATACGGCACGCGATATCTCTGGCGTCCGACATCGTAACTCTTCGGCGATTGTTGCATTGGATAGCTTGGAGTTTCCGCTACCAAATAGACCTTTCGATTGTTGAATTCGCAATGATGGAGTTACGAAGATATTACTGGCCTACAGACTTTCGATCATATATGATCGAAAGTCTGCAGGCCGGTAATAAAGGGTTAACACCACTATGAGTCGACCCACACCTGTAATATTTTGTTTCCTGACCTCCCATGCCCAGTAGAAGCTGAAAATAGGAAAAAGTCATTTTGTGAAATTTCACCCTAAGCCTGGTTTTCGCAGATTCTGGGCCATATATGGTAGGTTAGAACTGGGGTATGGACAATGGTTCTCTGTAATTCTCACGAAATTCGCTATGTGAGTTTGTTATATGTGAGTTTGTATATGTGAGTTTGTTATAATGTGAGTTTGTTATAATATAACATGTGAGTTTGTTATATGTGAGTTTGTTATTATGTGAGTTTGTTATATGTGAGTTTGTTATATGTGAGTTTGATATGTGAGTTTGTTATATGTGAGTTTGTTATATGTGGAGTCAACTGCACATTGTTGGAGTTGTCTTAAACATTTCACGGGTCTTTGGACCCAGGAATAAAGGCCAGACTTGATACTTGTTGCCAGGGACTGTTTGCTGTGCCCTGGGGTTTGTTGCCCCATTTAATGATTGGCTTACCCTGTGTTCCAGGGTCCTGGCATCACGGGAAAAGCCTGCTGAATGCTGGACAGGATCTGTTTTTTTTGTTTTTTTGTTGTTGTTGCTTTTCTGGTGGTGGTGGTTTTGCTATCTCTAAAGTATTGCTTCGTTTTATTTGAGTTTCTAAGGATTAGCTGGGGAAGTGAACTGCATGAAGAGAGAAACAAAAATTCCACACCAACCAGGACTCGAACCCGGGACCTTGCTTTTTTTAGAGTGTAATTGTTTTTGTTTCTCTGTGTTTGTGTGTGTGTGTCCATGTGTGTGTTTCTCTGTGTGCAAGGGTCCATGTGTGTGTGTCCGTGTGTGTGTACATGTATAATGTTTGTGTGTCAATGTTTGTGTACACCCACCCACACACAGTCTTCGAGCAGTAGCACACCGGTCAGCAGTCATCAAGGCATGATCCCGTGTGGTGTGGATCTCTACTGTGAGGATCTGGATCAATACAGTGATATAGGCAGCAATAAGACTGAATTTGTGCCTTGCATCACCGGTGCTGGTCCCACTGCACCAACTGGAACATATACACAGAGTAAGAGTGTGTTTGATTGGGCCGATCCCAAAAACGAATAATAATATGAACAGGTCGCATATTGCCCGCATAAAACGAATCATACGGGGGTCATGTACCTGTCAATGATTGTTAACCAGAGTTGCTTGTTGGTGGCGAGGTTGAGGCATTTCTTAATCGGCACATTCAGAGGCTTGAGGTCTTCTCTGATGTTGTCGACCCATCTCTTGTGGGGTCGTCCACGGGCGCGCTTGATGTCCGAAGTATTGCTTTAGAACGGACGGTTTTAGTGGTATGCATTGGCTCTGGGGTTCTCAGAACATATGGAATGTTCACACAGAGTAAGGGTGTGTTTGATTGGGCCAATCCAGGACAGGATGACTAAATACTAACACGCAAAGGTTCAGGCACAATGTATGCGGGTGACGGAGGTGTTAGAAAATTGCAGATTTTTGGTATTGAGGCCGAACATCATGTGTGGCAACAACAATATTTTTCGGAATCTACACGAGCACAAGCAGGGGCAAGCAGGGGCAAGCAGGGGCAAGCAGGGGCAAGCAGGGGCAAGCAGGGGCGTCAGACACGCCACAGTCATTGCGGTATTCACCGTACCACTTTTTGCCCCAGGTGCCACGTAAATCAAGAAAATACACCGATTTGGGCTCTAAATTTCAAAACATTTCCGCTGCGCCACCCCTCCCCCACGAGTAAATTGGACTTCAGATGGCTGACCGTCCCACACTAAATTACCTTCCACTGCCCTTGGTACATGTATGTAAGATCCCAGTAAAGTTCATATTTCGTTCTTATAGCTTATACGCCTACTGTAATAATGATACATTACTGGCTATACATTTACATGTTGAATTTTTACTTTGGTGGGTCAGATCTCCTCACCGCCCACCGATTTCAGGCGTGTAGCACCGCCGTTGTAGGTAGTCCGGTTGGAGGGGGGTCTGGAGGTATCCTCCGGGGAAATGTTTTGAAATTAGGGTACAAAATCCTGCATTCTGGGCACTTCTGGGCGAAAAAGTGGTCCGGTCAAAGCCGGTCCGGCCGGACTGGCTGCTACGCCCCTGGATTTAGGTGCTGTATCTGCGCCTTCATCCTTGGGGGTGCTGGCGTTCCTACGGATGTGGAGAACCCGGCCTCCGGCCAAGTCTCTTGCGAACCCTTGACTTTGTTTAGTTAGACGTAGGTGCGTCCGCAAGGAATACAGTTCTGTTTTCTAGTGTGTGTGTTGAGCGTCATTTACGAATAGGGCTGCAACGAATATTCTATTTCACAGACGAACGAATACTCATCCATAACGAATGAATAACGAATATTCTCTCAAAATGCTGGATTATCTCTAAGGTCGAAACAATTATTTAAATAGGAACTAAATCGATTTGTTTTGTAAATGAATCGAATATTCTATACCAAAAGAATCTTAGAAAGAGTTTGGCTAGTCCCCAGTTGTTCTAGACCAAGTAGATGTCTAGTGGAGTCATGTCCACTACTCTTGTGAGTCACAGTCCCCTTTCTCAGCACATAACACATGTACGTATCACTCCATCTGTTCAAGAATTACTACAAATTGATCGACAGAAGCAGAGTGTGCGCACGTGTCAAAACGAACGAATTTTCTAAAGGGGAAAATATTCCTTCCATCGGGTTCCTAACGAATATCAATCGAATATTCGAATATTCCTTGCAGCCCTATTTACGGATCTCATTGGCTGCCTACCTGATTGCTCACTATATGTATTTTCACTGCAGGTAATCTGGCCGCTGGAAACTATGCATTCCAATTGAGAGCTCTAGTCAACATCACTCTCCCGGCAACTGGCGACTCGTTCACCGGCTACAGCAACACTAGCCTTCTCTTCACAGTTGGTATGTGACAGCCTGTACCGTTGTTCAAATGACTCATGGTGCTGTTGCCATATCGTTGTCGTGGTGAAATTGCCATGACGTCACAGTGGTGATGTTGCCATGGCAGTACTTGGTCCGACTTATTAAAGGGGAAGTATACCCTAAAATCTAATTTTCACCAGTTGTAGTCTTCGGGGTGCTGAGTCGAATGGTCTTGGTCCGAGGAAGCTGAGACGCTCCCTTCCTACTTGAATCCCAATCGAACTCGCGCACTTCCACCGAAACTGGGTGACTGCGCCCTACTAGATGGGGATTTGTATGCAAAATGTCACTAAAAGCGCCATTTCGTTCTTATAAAAGCACGGATGACCGCCATTGGCCCATATGTTGTAGTCTTTGGGACGCTGAGTCGACTGGTTTTGGTCCGAAAAGGCTGCGATGCAGCGTTCCTCCTTTATTCCCAATCGAACATGGTTGAACAAGCGGTCACGTGCTCCTGCGTACACCAGTCACCTGGTCACCGTGCCTGCAGGGTACAACTTACTAGCCCGTTTGACCTTTTTGGGGCGCAGTCCTGTCACTCGAGTTGAACTCGAGTTGAACCTTGGTGTGAAAGTTGTCGCCTGCTGGCGCGGTGACCAGGTGATCCGAGGACTCCGCACCGTATCCGCCGGATAATTCACCCTTTCTGCGCTTCAGTTTTCCAGCCAGGTTGTCGCCTGAAAGTCGACCTCAAGGCCGGTTATTTATTTCGATCAACTTCTCGACGATCTCTTCTATGATCTTGATTCGCCGGCCGCCACATTGTGAACGACTGCGATCTGGATGGAGCGATGCTGGTGCTTTCTGCACGAGTTTCTGGAAAACGCGTTTCCTGAAATTCTGCCAAGGAAACAGCGATTGCAGCGATTTCAATCCGCCAGGAGGCACTCGAGACCGATCGCCCAGGAGGTTCTGGTACTCCGTGACAATCCTCCATCGCAGCGGGGTGTTGATTTCAGCACCAGGCCTTCTCTGTGTTGCGCGAGAAGCAACAGGAGTCCTCTGACGACAAAATTTGGACGCAAAATGCTCGAGTCAACTAGGATCCTGAGCCGCTGCCTCCTTTGGATTTGGAGCCATTTCTTCTTCAACATCACAAATTGACAACTGAATGATAGTGTTAGATAGCTGGAAAGTTTATTCCGTCCTGAGATTATTTGAATTTGTTTGGTTGATGTTGGAAGCGAAACGCACATTTTAAAAAGTCGGACCAAGTATTTCAAATCCAGTGAAACGTCCATAAAGAATTACACTGATAAGACAAACGTTCACTTCCGAAGAACTCGAATTCCAAGTTCCATTCGATAAATCACTGTGTATTGTACCCTAAATTGAGAGCTCGCGCGTTGCCTGCCGACTTGAATTCTCACACGAGTAAGTCGACAGGAAAAGCGTGAGCTCTCACGTAGGGAAGAGTACCCAATTCTCCAAGTACTGTCCAAGTCACTACAACCATTTTCTTCAGGATATGAACTGGAGGGAGAAGAAATGATGCGATACAAATCTTGCAAATGGCTGCTTACACAGACCGAAGAACGAGCAGTTGCTGTTTGCTGACTCTGAGTTTCAAGAACTGAATCGATCATCAGACGAAAATGGATTCTGACCCTGCACTGAGAGTACTGCTATAGACCATGAATGTTGCAACCCAGCGTAACAATAGTACCATGGCATTGTGTAAGGCGATTGCTGTCTGATGATCGGTTAAAACCAAGGAAACTCAGAGTTACAGCAGAAACGCTTTTCATTCTTTTCAAGTGTGTGTAACACGATATGGAGTGTTTGAGAACGTGTTCTGTACTCCGTTACGCGATATTCTCAGGGAATCAGGTGGCAATGTTCCAAAGGTGATGTTAGATAACACTTGCAATTTTTGTTATTTTATTTATTTTACTAGGGTGTTTCCCACAGACCTATGGTCTTCTTACGGGAGCCCGTTAACACTTGCATGTACTTCCTCCGTATACAAAATTCCCGCTCAACGAACCGCGCTAAAGGCTGTCATCGACAACCCACATTCATGTCGAGGTACGTTTAGTTGATTCCGAACAGATTCTCCAAGAAAGCCATGCGTGTGAGGTCGTTGCCGATACTGGAACTCATGAGTCAAGTAAAAACCTTTTTGGCTCGAAACTGACAAAGCTGCAGTGGTGCTCGGGGTTGAGCACTGGTAGATATACGTGGAGTCACGCGGCACTCTCTGCCTTGAAGCTGGCTAGGCTCTGTACTTACAGCCCGACGGCACGCGGCACGCGGCCTCATACGCAGCATGAGAACATAGTCATAAAGCTGTTCCGCTCACAGACTCAGTCACGGCAAGATGAAACATTGAAGTCGTCGTGCAACCAGGCACAACCAGACGTCTCCTTTGTAGGGAAGGGGAATCACAGCGACCTCCCCGAAGCCGTTGTAGAATACTGGGAGGGGTATCCTCCCGAGAAAATGCGAAGCATTCGGATGTGCTTGTACGACCCGTTTCACGACATAATGGAGGTCGCGGGCGAAACGACTGAATATAGTCGACACCGAGGCGTACACAGCTCTGGAGATGACGAGGACGTAGCCAAAGTCCCGTGTCGGATCATCACTGCAGCTGACAAGAAGCTGAACGAAATGCGAGCAGAAGCAGCGACTGTTGACGATGCGAAGTCAGCGTCATCAGGTGACAATGACACGAGCGAAGAAGACTCTGAATAAACTCAATATCATTCATCTGAGTTGCTTTTTGTCTTTGTATATAGCTTATAAATACCATTTTATCTCTAATATAAGCACGGTCCTTTATTTTTTCAATGTACCTCCACCCCGTGCTATTAATGGAGACGTTCCTTTATTGGAGACTGTTCCATTATTATTTCAACCTCATTTCAGAGGCATGTTGCCATGCCAAATTCATGTCAGACACACACATTTCAGGGTTTTTTTCGCCGATACAGATAATGAACTTACACAGTGTGCTTATAATGGAGGCTGAGCATTTTATTTTTGAATGCCGCCCCAAGGTGTTCTATTTTTGGAGACATGCTATTATTGGAGACTGTGCTTATATTAGAGATAATACGGTAGGTGAGACAATGCCACCAGTGTTATTCTAAGTCAAGCTAAACAATTCCAGAGCTGTGCGCAGCCTTAAAAAAAGTCACGATTTTTTTGTATACGGAGGAAGTAATGTTATTCTGTTATTCACTTTATCACCATATCAGACTCAAATGAATGTACAGCAAGAACACATGGTTGTCATGCCAACGCTAACTGTAGCAACATCCTTGGTTCATATACATGTGCATGTTCAACTGGTTACCAAGGAAATGGAACACATTGTTCAGGTAAGTCGTAATGTTATGACTCGGCACACTTGACTGTTTCATCAATTTTTGTGTGAAGTAGTTCAAGTTTGTTTCGCGTTTCCTTCAACTTTCGCGTTCCAAGCCACGGTTGTTCACACGAAGTTCCCCATCCCGTGATGTCAAACGAAAATTCGCTTGAATGACAAGAGCAAAGAAGACTCGGAATAAACTCAATAGGGAGGTTCCGGAGTACGATTTTTCGTGCCAAAATCCGTGGAGGCTCTACGGAATTTTTATACGTCGTTTTCGAGCAGTGAAAAGTTCCGGGGTATCGAGCAGTGAAAAGTTCCGGGGTACGGAACTTATGTGTTTGCCGTCATTGCCTAGGTTACGATCGCAAACACGTCACATTCCCGCGCGATGCCTTTTTATTTTGAAAATTTGTACCGAAATCAAAACTTCCCGCGAAAAATCGATGTTTCTCGAACCAAATTTGTAAGCGAAAAAATCTTTCTGCACCCGATGACGCAAATCTCCATACGAAGCATGGTTCGTATGAAAGCCAGTCCACACGGATTCTCGTGCCGAAAAATCGTATGGAGCACGCCTGGAAAAATTCGTAGCGCCCATACGGATTTTGGCACGGAAAATCGTACCCCGGAACCTCTCTAATATCATTCGTCTGAGTTGCTTTTTGTCATTGTATATACCTTATAAATAGGTTTTAAAAACAATGCCACCAGTGTTATTCTTAATCAAGCTAAACAATTCCATAGCTATGCGCAGCCTTAAAAAAGTCACGAAGTTTTTGTATACGGAGAAAGTAATGTTATTCTGTTGTTCACTTTATCACCATATCAGACACCAATGAATGTACAGCAAAAACACATGGTTGTCATGCCAACGCTAACTGTAGCAACATCCCTGGTTCATATACATGTGCATGTTTAACTGGTTACCAAGGAAATGGAACACATTGCTCAGGTAAGTCGTAATTTTATGATTCGGCACACTTGACTGTTTCATCAATTTTGATGCGAAGCAGTTCAAGTTTGTTTCGCGTTTCCTTCAACTTTCGCGTTCAAAGCCACGGGCGTTCACAAGAAGTTTCCCATTCCGTGATGTCAAACGAAAATTCGCTTGAATTTTCGCTCTGCACAACATCTCTGACGATAGAGAGTTTCCGCATGACATAATTACGTTAGTAACAAATGTAGTCGATCTATGGAAAGTCTAACCTACAATCCATGCCGATCTGTGTTCCGCCATATGTAGTTTTCGAATGACATAGCTGCCTTTGGCAACTCGGAACGCGGCAGTGTACGACCGGGTCAAGCTAGGGAGTGAGTCAACAATTTGCACCCCAATACACGTCCGGAGCGCCTCCGTTATCAGAGCCCTACGTACGTACTCTACATAGACAAATTTCCATAAGTGAAGTGCAAACTCGTGAGTTCACTGGTTTTCCCGCCCACTAACGTAAGGTTGCTCAACTTCACGTAGTGCGGAACGCCTGTAATGACTTATACATTAGGGGTCATCCGTAAATATTCCCTCAGCCCTGGAACCTTTGGATCCGTTGCATTATTTTCATGAAAAAATTCATGAAATTCAAATTCGTTACTTGTGGTACTCCCCCATTGATTTGTTTCCGTCTTCTCTTTGTGCCTTGTTCATGATTGTATTTTCCTCTTCCTCCTTTTCTTATATGACCACCTTCATCATTTTGCGAGAACTGTGGCAGTACGCTCAGTGAGAAGGCAGATTTTGCCTGTGCTTCTGGTGAAGTAAAATAAAGCTAAACAAACAAATACTAGGGGCAGACTCCCTACTTGAGAGCTCGCGGTTTTCCTGCCGACTTGAATTCTGATTGACTGACTCCCGACTGAAACACTGTGTATTGAGCAGGGAGTGGTGCTTTCTTGCAGGTTTGCCGAGTGGACGGTTCGATGGACTTCTCGTGTGCTCTGGATGGCAGTCGTGAGTCAGTCAAGTGAGAATTCAAGTCGGCAGGAAAACCGCGAGCTCCCATGTAGGGAGCAACACACTCTTCCCCTAGTATCACCGAAGTCGCACCAACCTCTTCTTCAAACAAATACTGTTATTTATTCCCTTAGCTATGCAGATGAGCCAGGGTCCCCACAGCTTTAATTTGGTAACTGTTTGTGTGTTTGTGTCACGCCTGGCGCTATCCCGTATCTGTCCCGTAGCGTACCGTACCATCAAACACAGCTGGCCACATATAGCTCGCCGCACTATTCAAAAGGGCTTTCAAACGCAAGATCATAACGTGAAGCAACTTGGAAGAATGAGTATGAATGCAAAGTGTATGGGGAAATGCATGTAGGGCGATAGTGCGGGTTCGAATCCCTGGGAATGCCTGAAAATAGGAAAATTGAAAAATTTATAACATCCCTATTCTTTTTTTGCCGTCATCAAGGCGGTAGATGGTGTCGTATTACCCTCAACCGTACCTGTCCCGTACCTTTCCCGTACCTGTCCCGTACCTGTCCCGTACCTGTCCCGTACCTGTCCCGTACCTGTCCCGTACCTGTCCCGTACCGTACCTGTCCCATACCGTACAATCAAAGACGGCTGGCCACAATGCATATTCATATATCAAATACAAGATCATAACGTGAAGCAACTTGGAAGAATTAGTATGCATGCGAAGTGTATCGGGGTCCGGGGATGCATGCAGGGCGATAGTGCGGGTTCGAAATCCCAGGTTATGTCTAAAAACAAAAAAGTAGAAATTTATAAGAATTTATAACATGTAGAAAGGAAAAGGACATATGGATACGAGTTAAGAGTAACGCTTGCCTTCCCCTCTAGGGTCTTTCCATAACCTTGAACCTTCCAAGTTGGAAGGCTGTCGGTTAGCGCTACGGAGATGTGTTGAAGCTAGGTGTCAGGACGTCGAATGTCTCAGTACTCTTTTCAGTTTTGTGCCTAGTTATTGCACTTTCGGACTGTATATTGTATCCAGTTACAGTAATGGAGAGTTACTCTTAACTGGTATCCATATGTTCTTTTCCTTTCTACATTTATTTATGGCTCAACATCCGAGTTTCAAATTTATAATATCCCTATGCTTTTTTTGTCTAGGTCATCAAGACAAAAAAGCATAGCTCTCTCATTTAGACACGAAAACTAGTCATTTCTCTTCAACCCCCCCCGCCTTGAGAAACGAACACATACATACGGCACATAGTATAGATTATTCTTTTCTAGCTGGATGTGCCCACACATACAAACTGTGCATCGGTATATTTCGAGAAACGAACAGGCGCTCACCCCCGCCTTAAACAGCTACTTTTTGTTTCTAAATAAAATTACGAATGGCTCCTAATGCTATTCTGTTGTCCACTGTATCACCATATCAGACACCAATGAATGTACAGCAAAAACACGTGGTTGTCATGCCAACGCTAACTGTAGCAACATCCCTGGTTCATATACATGTGCATGTTTAACTGGTTACCAAGGAAATGGAACACATTGTTCAGGTAAGTGGCAATTTTATGACTCCGCACACTTGACTGTTTCGTCGATTTTGTGTACAGTACAGTAAAAATAGAGGTTGCGAGTTTGCGGCAGTCAAGTGTCAAGTCGTCGGCGGAATAGCGCGAGCTCCAGTTTGGGAGCAAACCCATTCCTAATACAGTAAAACCTGGTGTAAGCGACCTCTGGGTTTAGCGACCACCTGCTCTTAATGACCGCTTTTTTCATGCATTGACTGTTCTACACATAAACGGCACTGGATACAGCGACCACCTACCTTACACGGCCATCAAACGACTTTTAGTGTACCAAGTTTCATATAGGACCTACGCACAGCGGCCCAAACCAGCCAAAAGTGTCGTCTTCACTGGCAGGGTTGACACAAACAGGGTTGAAGTGCGCTGGGTCCAAATATGTAATCGAAAGTGCCCAATGACTAGCATGTTATGCTGTTCTGTTGTCCACTGTATCACCATATCAGACACCGATGAATGTACGGCAAAAACAAATAGTTGTCATGCCAACGCCAACTGTAGCAACATCCCTGGTTCATATACATGTGCATGTTTAACTGGTTACCAAGGAAATGGAACACATTGTTCAGGTAAGTCGTAGTTTTATGACTCGACACACTTGAATGTTTCATCAATTTTTGTGCACATTAGTTGAAGTTTGTTTCGCTTGTCCTTCAACTTTCGCGTTCAAAGCCACGGGCGTTCACATGAAGTTCCCCTTCCCGTGATGTCAAACGAAAATTCGCTTGAATTTTCGCTCTGCAAAACATCTCTGACGATTGAGAGGTTCCGCACGACATAATTACGTTAGTAACAAATGCAGTGGATCTATGGAAAGTGTAACCTACACTCCATGCCGGTCTGTGTTCCGCCATATGTAGTTTTAGAATGATATAGCTGCCCTTGGCAACTCGGAACGCGGCAGTGTACGACCGGGTCGACCTAGGGAGTGAGTCAAAATTTTGCACCCCAATCGATTACGGAGCACCTCCGTTATCAGAGCCCTACCTATGTACTATACATAGACAACTCTCCATAGGTTAAGTGCAAACTCGCGAGTTCACGGGTTTTCCCGCCTACTAACGTAAGGTTGCTCAACTTCACGTAGTGCGGAACGTCTCTAATGACTTGCACATTAAGGATCATCCGTAAAATACTGATATTCCCCTTAATTAAACAACTAGTTTTGGTTTCTAAATAAATATCCACATTTACGAATGGCTCCTAATGCTATTCTGTTGTCCACTGAATCACTATATCAGACAACAATGAATGTACAGCAAGAACACATGGTTGTCATGCCAACGCTAACTGTAGCAACATCCTTGGTTCATATACATGTGCATGTTTAACTGGTTACCAAGGAAATGGAACACATTGTTCAGGTAAGTCGTAATGTTATGACTCGGCACACTTGACTGTTTCATCAATTTTTGTGTGAAGTAGTTCAAGTTTGTTTCGCGTTTCCTTCAACTTTCGCGTTCAAAGCCACGGGTGTTCACACAAAGTTCCCCATCCCCTGATGTCAAACGAAAATTCGCTTGAATGACAAGAGCAAAGAACACTCGGAATAAACTCAATATCATTCGTCTGAGTTGCTTTTTGTCTTTGTATATTGCTTATAAATAGGTTAAGCAATGCCACGAGTGTTATTCTATGTCAAGCTAAACAATTGCATTGCTCTGCGCAGCCTTAAAAAAGTCACGAAGCTTTTGTATACGGAGGAAGTAATGTTATTCTGTTGTTCACTTTATCACCATATCAGACACCAATGAATGTACAGCAAAAACACATGGTTGTCGATTTTGTGTACAGTACAGTAAAAATAGAGGCTGCGAGTTTGAGGCAGTCGTGAGTCAGTCAAGTGTCAAGTCGTCGGCGGAATAGCGCGAGCTCCAGTTTGGGAGCAAACCCATTCCTAATACAGTAAAACCTGGTGTAAGCGACCTCTGGGTTTAGCGACCACCTGCTCTTAATGACCGCTTTTTTCATGCATTGACTGTTCTACACATAAACGGCACTGGATACAGCGACCACCTACCTTACACGGCCATCAAACGACTTTTAGTGTACCAAGTTCCATATAGGACCTACGCACAGCGGCCCAAACCAGCAAAAAGTGTCGTCTTCACTGGCAGGGTTGACACAAACAGGGTTGAAGTGCGCTGGGTCCAAAAATGTAATCGAAAGTGCCCAATGACTAGCATGATATGCTGTTCTGTTGTCCACTGTATCACCATATCAGACACCAATGAATGTACGGCAAAAACAAATAGTTGTCATGCCAACGCCAACTGTAGCAACATCCTTGGTTCATATACATGTGCATGTTTAACTGGTTACCAAGGAAATGGAACACATTGCTCAGGTAAGTCTTAGTTTTATGACTCGGCACACTTGACTGCTTCATCAATTTTTGTGTGAAGTAGTTCAAGTTTGTTTCGTGTTTCCTTCAACTTTCGCGTTCAAAGCCACGGGTGTTTACCCGAAGTTCCCCATCCCGTGATGTCAAACGAAAATTCGCTTGAATGAAAAGAGCAAATAAGACTCGGAATAAACTCAATATCATTCGTCTGAGTTCCTTTTTGTCTTTGTATATAGCTTATAAATAGGTTAGACAATGCCACGAGTGTTATTCTAAGTCAAGCTAAACAATTGCATAGCTATGCGCAGCCTTAAAATGTCACGAAGTTTTTGTATACGGAGGAAGTGATGCTATTCTGTTGTTCACTTTATCACCATATCAGACACCAATGAATGTGCAGCAAAAACACATGGTTGTCATGCCAACGCTAACTGTAGCAACATCCCTGGTTCATATACATGTGCATGTTCAACTGGTTACCAAGGAAATGGAACACATTGCTCAGGTAAGTCGCAATTTTATGATTCGGCACACTTGACTGTTTCGACGATTTTTATGCGAAGCAGTTCAAGTTTGTTTCGCGTTTCCTTCAACTTTCGCGTTCAAAGCCACGGGCGTTCACACGAAGTTCCCCATTCGCTTGAATTTTCGCTCTGCACAACATCTTTGACGATAGAGAGTTTCCGCACGACATAATTACGTTAGTAACAAATGTAGTCGATCTATGGAAAGTCTAACCTACAATCCATGCCGATCTGTGTTCCGCCATATGTAGTTTTCGAATGACATAGCTGCCTTTGGCAACTCGGAACGCGGCAGTGTACGACCGGGTCAAGCTAGGGAGTGAGTCAGCAATTTGCACCCCAATACACCACCGGAGCGCCTCCGTTATCAGAGCCCTACGTACGTGCTCTACATAGACAAATTTCCATAAGTGAAGTGCAAACTCGTGAGTTCATGGGGTTTCCTGCCCACTAACGTAAGGTTGCTCAACTTCACGTAGTGCGGAACGCCTCTAATGACTTGTACATTAGGGGTCATCCGTAAATATTCCCTCAACCCTGGAACCTTTGGATCCGTTGCATTATTTTCATGAAAAATTCATCAAATTCAAATTCGTTACTTGTAGTACTCCCCCATTGATTTGTTTCCGTCTTCTCTTTGTGCCTTGTTCATGATTGTATTTTCCTCTTCCTCCTTTTCTTATATGACCACCTTCATCATTTTGTGAGAACTGTGGCAGTACGCCCAGTGAGAAGGCAGATTTTGCCTGTGCTTCTGGTGAAGTAAAATAAAGCTAAACAAACAAATACTAGGGGAAGAGTGTGTTGCTCCCTACGTGGGAGCTCGCGGTTTTCCTGCCAACTTGAATTCTGATTGACTGACTCCCGACTGAAACACTGTGTATTGAGCAGGGAGTGGTGCTTTCTTGCAGGTTTGCCGAGTGGACGGTTCGATGGACTTCTCGTGTGCTCTGGATGGCAGTCGTGAGTCAGTCAGGTGAGAATTCAAGTCGGCAGGAAAACCGCGAGCTCCCATGTAGGGAGCAACACACCCCTCCTCTACTATCACCGAAGTCGCACCAACCTCTTCTTCAAACAAATACTGTTATTTATTCCCGTAGCTATGCAGATGACATTACTTCCGTAACGTTTGGCGCTAGCCAGGGTCCCCACAGCTTTAATTTGGTGTTTGTTTGTGTGTTTGTGTCACGCCTGGCGCTATCCCGTATCTGTCCCGTAGCGTACCGTACCATCAAACACAGCTGGCCACATACAGCTCGCCGCACTATTCAAAAGGGCTTTCAAACGCAAGTTCATAACGTGAAGCAACTTGGAAGAATGAGTATGAATGCAAAGTGTATGGAGAAATGCATGTAGGGCGATAGTGCGGGTTCGAATCCCTGGGAATGCCTGAAAATAGGAAAGTTTAAAAATTTATAACATCCCTCTTCTTTTTTTGCCGTCATCAAGGCAGTAGATGGTGCCGTATTACCCTCAACCGTACCTGTCCCGTACCTTTCCCGTACCTGTCCCGTACCTGTCCCGTACCTGTCCCGTACCTGTCCCGTACCTGTCCCGTACCTGTCCCGTACCTGTCCCGTACCTGTCCCGTACCGTACAATCAAAGACGGCTGGCCACAATGCATATTCATATATCAAATACAAGATCATAACGTGAAGCAACTTGGAAGAAGTAGTATGCATGCGAAGTGTATTGGGGGTCCGGGGATGCATGCAGGGCGATAGTGCGGGTTCAAAATCCCAGGTTATGTCTAAAAACAAAAAAGTAGAAATTTATAAGAATTTATAACACTCAATCTGCGAACAGCATGCTGTTTCTTTCTTTGTGAACTCATCAGCGCAGCACAGAGGAAATGAGGCCAAACCTAATAGCAATGAAAATAAAAATTTCCAATCAGGCCCGAACGTACCTTGCCAGAGTGCTCAAACTGACAAGTCAGTGAGCTCTGCGTAATGCAAACGGCAAAGGCACTACCCCACATGAGAGTGCTCAACTACTACAAGAGCAGGTTTCGTCTCGAGGTGGTGCGTAGTGCAGTTAGCTTTTTTTGAGCACCGTAGTTTTTCGCAGGTTTTGTAGGAGCCAGCCGGCAGCAGGCCGGTCTGGAGCAGGGTAGGGGCTGGATAGTTTAAAATTAGTTAGTAAATAGTTAGAGCGTTCCAAATGCCCACGTCCGGTGAAAATCGCAGTTGGAATTCGGTCTCTCCGAAAGTTCTAAAGAGGAACACTAGAGGAAAGAGGAATGGCTACTCCGACCTGATATCCGTGCAGCTGACCAGTAACTTGAGCTGCAAGGCCACGTTTCATTCCCAAGACACTCTGACACGACTTTGCCGAAACGGTTTCCATCTTATGTCAGTGGAAGTGCGCGTCACTCAACTGGTGCCTGATTCCGTGGAATTCCAAATTCACGATGTGCCTATCTGGGTCCAGGACGACGTTATTATCGAAAGCCTGGGTGTCTTTGGATCGGCCGTTGGGCCTCTTCGCCATGGATTTGTCAAGACGAAGTCAGGGCTCGCCATTGCCACTGGTATCCGCTTCGCCACATTCTCTCTTCGCCCCAACATGCAGATTCCGTCGTATGTGAAAACATCTACGAACAACTTGTTTCGTGTACGCTACGAAGGCCAGCCTGCAACCTGTCGTAAATGCTCCCAACCGGGACACATCGCTGCAGATTGTAAACTTGCCTCAGGAGCGACATACGCCAAGCGAACCGCGCACACCAGAACAAGCGCAACTGCAACTGTCGGAGGGCAACCTGGTGAACTTACCGTACAGACCGGAGTCCAAAACGAGTCGCCAGACTCGGCACGCTCCAGCAGAAGGCCCAGCACCAGCCTGAGTACTCTCTCGAGTACTGGATTTAGTACGAGTGCAACTCCTGTGGGGTCAAATGTTGAAGAACCCGCAGTCAACACTGAAGTGCTCGAAACGGATTTGAATTTGAAAACTACGAAAGTAGATGAGGGGACTACTGAGGTTACTTCAGCGCTGAACAACCTGACAGATACTGAGCCAGACATGTCGTCCGCACAGGGATCGCTGTCAAGCATGACAGCACACCCCAGAACTCCCCTCGCGGACATCGAAGTAGACATTGCAGAGCGAGATCTAGAACGGACAGAGCGACTCCTATCAGAAGTGGCATCAAACATCAACACCGAAGCGATCCACACCTGGTTCACGCCTGAACGACGAGGCAGGAATGCCAGCACTGAGTCCTCACCAGAGTTGGCAACTGGGGGGAAGAAGAAGGATTCCCGGAAACCAACAAATCTAGCTCCAGGCTCACGATTTAGTCCGCTTGCCAGAGTCTAATCGTGACTTGAAAAAAAAATGCAGAACTATAACTATAACACCCACAGCACCACCTACCTCCTCGACCCAGTCACTGCGCCTCCTGGTGACTAATGCTTTTAGCTTAGCAAACAAATTTGGAGAATTTGTCCACACTGTCACGCACCATAATGAAGACATCGCTGTTGTGACCGAGACCAAGTTTGATGCAACTATCATGCCAGCTAAAGAGATGCGAAAAGACCACCAACAATCTATTAGATCATGACTGGTTCACATTCCACGTTGAAAGTACTGTCCCTGAACATCTGCAGCCTCCGCCAGAAGCTGCAGGATCTAATGCAACTGGCCTCTACTTGTGTGCCCAATGTAATAGCTGTCTCAGAAACTTGGCTCGATGGTACCATTACAACAGCAGAAATGTCTTTACCAGGTTACACC